CCAATATAGATCAATTATAAATTAACGTGAATCATATAATGCTGAAACATGAATTTCTTTTCTGTTGGCCATTGATGTTACAAACTGTGCGCATATGATTACGTGGACTTTTTTAAAGCAGGTTCCTTTGATGAAGTAATGCAGCCGTAATAAAACGGATGTGAAAAGCGGGTATATTTACTGAAAACGATTTTATCGTCTCCCCTCCGTAGCGCGTACTGGGTTATCGATTTCGTAGGATGCGGGAAAATACGAAAGGGACTATGAAATATTGGCAAATGTTTAAACATGCCAGCAGGGACTGTATGCACGTTCCGTGAAACAAATGCCACTATGAAATACCGTTTCAAAGTCCTTTCTCCAATCGACGATACCGCGTTTCACGTGTCAATTCCCTCTGTCATACAATTCACTACCAATCGACGTTTCACCTGAACGCATTCACCTCTTCCATATTATACGCGCATTTCAAATAATGGATACAATTTTGTAATTCATGTAGATTTTCTAGGCTACATCGTGTTATATTAAATTCCTCTCTAATTATTCAATTCAGTTGGTACAAGAATGGACATTTCAGTGATTAAATAATTAAACCTGTTCATCTAGAATATGTATATTCTTTAAGCTTTTATAAAGAATTGTCAACTAATATAAAAAACTTGACTATACTTTTTATTGATGATTCTACTATTTTCTGGAGTTTATTTTGAGTAATAATTAGTTGAGTTAAATTTGAAATACTATAATGACAGCTTAAAGTATAAAATTATTATTTTTAAAGTAATTGTATACACAAATTTCTTCAAAAGTTCCAACTGTTCTTATAAGATTCGTTCCATGCTTGTAATTCATACGCGGCGTCCGTGCACTCAAACGAGGTTAGTAGAGGGTGCAAAACATCCGTACATACACCCCGATCTCGCGCTACTAGCCACCCCGGACCCACCCTGGGTGTACGCGCTAACGGGCCGCTTCAGCTCGTCCTGTACACGCTCAGCCATTCATGTCCCATACATATTTATGCCGGACGGCTGCACGTAACAGGTACCCTCCGCCACCCGCGACCGTGCGGGCGTGTGTACGCGCGCGTGTGCGCCAACTGCGGGATATCAGGGCGAGCATCACGTCGTGTGTCGACCGGCGATACGTTTGTTTCGTAACCGAGCCGGGGCCAGCACATTGTGCATGCCGCGCGTCGCGCGGAAGCACCTGCGCGTCTCCTACTCCGTCATCGCGACGCCTGTTATCAGCGACGCGCTATCCTGAACCCAAGAACGGAGGCGGAAGCCCGCGTATCGCAACGACCCGAGACGTGCCAAAGTCGTTAACGCGTTCGTCGTTAACGACAGACACAGCACCATGGAACGATTTTATTTACAGGATTCTGTCATTGGGAGTAAGCTGTGTTATTAAATTTATGCATTACAATAAATAATGTAACGTTGTTGATAAGGAATTAATTATAAGTATATGTATTATGATTTATATCGTTGAAGAAAATGTTATAGTAAATTCTACTGCGGGGACACTGTGTGCTGGGAGATGATGGCGTACGGGGTGCAGATGGCGAGTGCGCGGAAACTGATGTTCTGATGGAAGCTGATGAGCTGGAAGCGGTGGTAACTGACGTTCGTACTGGCGCTTGATGGCTTGGAAATCGGTCGAAATCGGTGATCTCCCGTTGATCAGTCTCTACCGGTTCCCTTCTCCATCGTTAGACTCTTTATGAAGAAAATCCGCCAACTTGTGCTCTGATTGCTAGCAATCTTCGTTCTCCAAACTCTTTCATTTTTATCAAGTGACTAATGTGATGTATATACTTAAATAAATTAATGCGTGACATTAATATTCAGCATTTACAGAGCTTATTATTCTTATTGTTATATATTGTTTTATATTCCTGGTTTATTTTCCTTTAATACGTCCTGTTGAATATTTGTTGATATTGGAGATCTTGATATGATCAGGAATCAAGTTCACGGCCAAAACGCTAAACTCACCGAGTTACAAAGTGTCGGGAAGTTTAACAAGTTTCGCGTTCCATCGAGTTCCCCGAGTTTGGAATTGTTCCATTGCTCTCGAACTTCTAATTTGTTTTAATCTCAAACGGCAATCGCGACGTTTCAGTCAAATTGATTTTCCAAGATATTCACCGCCGCATCTATTTAAACATTTGTCGTATACAATAGATTTATGCTGCAATCTCAGTTTATCATTTCGAGTATGAGTTTTATTATTGTTATTGAATTTTTAAGTTTGCATCAACCACAAGAGTCAGTAGCATGATTGAGGATCAATTATAAAATGCCGAAAATAAAAATAACACTTGGAAGAATGGAAATCCCCACCTAACATTTCTAAATTTGAATTGTCACGTTTCAACAATAATAATTGACTAATACTATATGCTATCCATTAATTAGAATCTGAATTTAAGGTTTATACGTAGATTAGAAATTGTCGTCATGAAAATGTATCAGGTGAACTTTGAAAGACCACTGTTTTTCTTGAAAGGCTGTAGCCAGCCTGAAAACATTGGAACCAAACGAGTATCGAGCGCAAGCTGGTGAATGATTCAGGCCCCCCATTTCCCGACGGTTTCAGTAATTGGTATGTACCACTCGAAAAGAACGGCTAATGTTGACATCTCATTCTCCGGTTCAGACTAAGACTTCAACATTTTCAACTTAAAAATCTGCCATCCCGACACGGTGTACATTCCGCGAGAACTGCCCACCTCGAGCATAAGTGTGTCCGCACACATTTGCAGAGCATAAGTCGCTCTCCACGTTCCCTCTTGTCCTTTCTAGCTCATTTCCGTCTCTCTCTCTACCCCCGTCTTTTCCTTTGCCAACGTCTCGTGTTATGATTACAGTTTTATTCCTACCGCTTTCGATTCGCTCGCGTTTATTTTTACCGGAAGACGCCGTCCCGCGAGTAAATCGTCTTTCTTCCGGCGTATTTACCCGTCCCACTGCCGCCGTTCGCTTTATTTCATTCGTTTTTACTTCGAGTTTCAGACAGTTACTGAAGAGCTCATCCGACGATTCGTCGTGTCGCATAAATACCGGGAAAAGAGCACCGGGTAATTCCTTTTAAATATAACTTCCCCCTGTGTTCGTTTACTCTGCGATCAAACACGGTACTTACTGATCTTCATCTCTTAATGGCTTTGCTCAGCATTTGCTACGTGCATTTTTTCCCTCAGTTTTGCCTTCCTTCGAGCTTGCATATTTTTTACGTCTGTTCATGATTTCGAT